AGAGAGAGGGAGGGAGGGAGGGAGGGAGGGAGGGAGGGAGGGAGAAACAAAGAATATCTCAAATAGGCTCCATACTCAGCATGGAGCTGGACGTGGGGCTCGACATGGACTCCATGAGGGGCTCAACCCCATGACCCTGGGATCGTGACCTGAGCCGAAATCAAGAGTCAGACACTTAACTGAGTCACCCAGGTGCCCCACAGTGAAGTTGTTTCAAAAATACATGTGTGTGGGGAGTACCTGGGTGGCTCTGTCGGTTGAGCGACTCTTGATTTCACTTCGGTCATGATCTCACAGTTTGTGAGTTCGAGCCCCTCATGCGGCTCAGAGCTGACAGCGCAGAGCCTGCTTGGGATTCTCTCTCTCACCTCTTTCTGCCCCTCCCCCACTAGCAATTGCTCTCTCTCCCCCTAAATAAATAAATAAATAAATAAATAAATAAATAACAACTTTAAAAAACACATGTGAGGGCCCCTGCACTGAGCAACCGACTCTTGATTTTAGCTCAGTCAGGACATGATCTTGCAATCATGAGACTGAGCCCGACATTGGGCTCCACACGGGGTATGGAGTGTGGTTGGATTCTCCCTCTCCTTCTCTCTCCGCCCCTCCCCAGCTCACACACACTCTCTCTCTCTCTCAAAATAAATAAATATTAAAAAATACATGTGGCACTTAAACAGCCTCTGCTACCTACTAAGTATTCAGTTATTACACTCTCCTCACTTCACAGAAGCGAGAAAGCCCCGAGAGCAAAACACAAGAAATGTTAACATCAAGAAAGTAAGGACCATCGCAGAATAAAGGACCATCCACTGCTTACTGCGTGGCTTGGGGAAGGCCCCTGAGTCACCAGAGACCTGGAGCTACTCTGACAGCTTCACCCTCTAGGGCATTTCTCAAACCCAGCCAGGGGCAGCCCTCCTGAAGTTGGTCTGGCTACTTAAGTGGACAGCCTTAAGCAGGGAAGGCTCTCCCTCAGGGTGGGTGATGGTTGGCCAAAGGGGTGGCTCAGTAGGTTAAGCATCTGACTCAGTTTTGGCTCATGGTCTCAGAGGTTCAGGAGTTCTAGCTGGGCATCTGGCTTGCAGAGCCTGCTTGGGATTCTGTCTCCCTCTCACTCTGCCCCTCACTCGCTCTGTCTCTTTTGAAATAAACTTTAAAAACACTAAAAAAAAAAAAAAAAAAAAAAAGAAGAGGGCCTGGATATGGCCAATGAGCCTCTGGATACAGCCTCCCGACCCCCCTCACCCCCCCATGGTAAAGTTAGGACACGGTGGTCTCAGTCTGACTCAAGACAGCCTGTACCAAAAAAAAAACCTGCTTTTGGTAGAAGGAAAGACCTCTGCTCATGACAGGGAAAAGCAGGGGCCTGCAGCCACCTGTGGGTGGACAGAGGTGGGAGGGGCCACCAGAAACGGACAGAAGGGGGGGGGCGGGAATACTATCTGGTCTGTGGCTCTCGTTTCATTTTCATTTTCCTACAAATCTCCTGGTCTTCTCCATTTCCAAAACTCTTGGTGGGGCACAAACATACTAATTATAGCCTCTGCCTCAGTCCCTCAGGTTTTTAGTTTTGTTTTGGATTCTGTCTTTGGGCAGCGGCTGCATTTGCCAGCACCCCTTTTCTGATGATCCTCTTAGATGGGGCCAAAAGAAAGCTAATACTTAACAAAAAGGGAAGTCCTTCTCAAACCCTCCCCAAACCTGGTCAGTAGCTGAGAAAAGAGGAGAACTAAATCTACTGGAAAGAGAAAATCAGAGAAGTAAGGAAATCAATGCAACTCTCGCCCACGCAAGCCCATCCCAGGTCCAGCAAACAGCGGCTCCAGCAGCCGCTCAAAGGGACGACCTCGTCCAAGAGTGCTGGGAGGAGAGACCGGACAGCCGACAAAGGCTGAAAACGGGAAGGGTTCCTCCTATCTGGCAACGGGCACCTGCCGCCAGGGGCTGGGCTCCCAGACCGCCGGCACGCTTCAGCCAGCGCTCCTCCTGGGAGGCGCCGCATCGCGAAGCCAGGCGCCCTCCCGCGCCGGGAGCAATCGCCACCCTCACCCACAAGCTCTTGCAGTCAGGACCCCAACCTCAGGCACACACCGAGTCTCCGAAGGGTGTGTGCGCGCCCGGACTCTCCATTGGCTGTCGGCTTCGACGGCCGGTTTAATCGTTACCGGAGCCGCTTGGGCGGATCCTCACTTTGAGGCAAAGCCGCAGCTCAGAGAGTAGCTGCGAGGCTGGCGGTGGTCAGCCCCGGCAACAGGCGAGGCACCGCGAGCACAGCGAGGCCAGCGGCGGAGGGGCGCTCGGGCAGCAGGCGGAGGCGCACTGGTGCGGAGCCCCCAGACCCCAGCACCATGTGTGAGCTCGGCCGGCTCTCTCTCCTTCTCCCTGGCCCGGGCGTCTCCCACAAGCACACTCACCTCCGGAGTGGGGGTGGGGGGGCTCCCTCCCATCCAGGGCCGGGCTCACCTCCGATCCAGCCCGCCGCGAAGTCCTCCAGCTGGAAGCTGCCCATGGCCACAGTAGCGGCGCCTCGCGCTCCCGCAGCCGGGTGGGTGCCCAGTGAGAGTCCGCGGGGCGTTCCACCCGCCGGCCCGCGCTCGGGGGAGGAGGTGGGAGACTCGGGCGCGCCGTAGGTCCTACTTCGAGTCCCGTCTCCGAGCACAGGACCCGCGGGGCGCCAGCGCTCACCTCTCCGAGGGCCCGTGGCCGCTGCCAGCACGCCCCCAGCGGACCTTAAAGGCGCCGCACCTCGCCCGTCCGGGACGCTGGGGCCCGCGCAGGGCGTTCCCTTAGCCCGCCCTTCTCCCGCGCCCACTCCTTGCCACCACACGTCCTCGGCGCCTCGAGGCCCAGATGCCCGTCCCCGCCTCGCTCAGTCCTCCTCCGAGACACTGCAAGTGTGTCCGGGACAGTTTGGCCGGCCTCATTACAAGAGAGAAAGGCCTTATCCAAGGTCGGGAAGTATTTGATTACAAACACCAAGACCTGTGATAGGATTGTTTACCTGTGAGGACACATCCTCTTTCCAAAAGAGCACCGAAAGAATTCTAACGGAATGAGCGGCTTTCAGCTCGGCCACAAGTTCTTAGTTGTGATGATCGGATTGGAAGCCAGAGACAGTTTCACTAGACACAGGACACACGATTTTGCCCGTTTTAGAGGTTAGGGACTCTTTCTCGACACACCCTCCACACCTCTCTGGCTAGCCCCAGGTTGCAGAACCCTATCTATCCATGAGTAACAAATAGTGTGTGGAAAGCACTTAGCCCCAGGCTAGGCTCCAAGTCAGCTCTAAATAAACATTAGCTATGAGGATGTCTTCAGGCCAGGGTCTGTGCGTGGAAGGAGGGGGGTGCTTTATGCGTGGTCCTGCTTCCCCCTCATAGCAGCTGTGAGTAGGCATTACTAACCCCCCAGTGAGGGTCAGCTTTGTATCAACTTGGCTGGGTGCGCAACAGCACCCCGTGATTCAGTCAAACATTAACGGACCGCGAAGGTGTTTTTGTAGGTATAGTTAACACCTAAAACCAGCTGATTTTAAGTAAGGGAGTTTATCCTTGATCATCTGGGTGCCTTCCACCCAAACTGTTGAAAGGCCTTACAAGCCAAGTGGAGGGGTGCCTGGCTGGCTCAGTTGGAACAGCATACAACTCTCGATCTCAGGGTTGTGAGTTGGGTGTAGAGATTACTTACAAATACAATCTTTTAAAAAAATGTTTATTTATTTTTGAGAGAGAGAGAGAGAGAGAGAATCCTGGTGGGGGAGGGATAGAGAGGGGATAGAGAGCGTGATGCAGGGCTCAAACTGATGAACCATGACATCCTGACCAGAGCCAGAGTCAGACTTTTAACCGACTGAGCCACCCAGGTGCCCCCAATGTTTTTGTTTGCTTTTTGTTTTGTTTCGTTTTGTTTTTAAAGAACAAAATGGAGGCATCCGTGAGGAAAAGGAAATTTCACCTGTAGAATGCAATGTCAGCTCCTAAGCATTCCCAGCCTTCCAGCCTGTGCTCCAGATTTCAGATTTTCCCAGCTAGACCCCACGCTTACCTAATATATATGTCTCCTGCTGATTGTTTCTCTGGTAGACCCCTCTGTTCACCTGACACAATCTTGACAGTACAGATTCCAATCAGCTGCGGGCTTTCTCTTCCCCCTCCCAGCCCCAGCGGGTGATGCTTATTGTCACGCAGCCTGGTCCCACTCAGCACCCTGGGCCCAAGCAAGACCTGGGGATTCAGGGTCATGTCTAATTTCCAGCTCTCCAGGGGCCCAGCTCCCTCCAGCACCGGGTTCAGCCTACACTTTCCACCCTGGGTTCCCAGGAAGGCAGAGGGGTAGTCCTCTCTTCCTCAGGTATCCTCTCTGCAGCGAGGCCCTGAACCCAGGAGGGACCCAGCTTGGCCTGGCTGTGTGGAGAGGCCTCTTTTGGTGCACTGGGAGTTCCTGATCCCCTTCCAAGAAGGAAGATGATTCGATGCTAATGCCCAGCAAGAACCCAACCTTGGCACCCAAAATGGTGAGGGGATGGTCTAGAAGAAGGGGGCTCTGCTGGGCCTGCTCTTCTCCCACCAGCACATCCACATCACGTCACCCAGGCCTCCTTCTTCCCAAGCAAGACAAAGTCTGACCACTGAGGCTTGATCCTAAGGGCCAAGAGGCTGCTGAGGAGTCGGGGCTCACCATCAGCACTGGCCTACCTACCAGGCCTGGGATGTGTGCCGGGACAGTAGAATAAATAAAAGGTCTCCAAAGAATGGCCCTTTTTTTACCGTCACTATTGAGCAAGTCAACAGGTCGAAAGACCCACTCTCTTGGAGGACCACCTACGGGGTGCTAGGGCGGACTGTCATTCCTCGGTCCCGTGTCAGCACGAACTGGCAGGCAGTGGCTCCGGCAGCTCTGGGACAGCCGCCTGAGTCCCGAAATCCGCTGCTTTGCACCGTTCATGAATGCGGCAGGAGGGAAGGAGTAGACTCCTTTCCAGAAGGAACCACAGTCCATGTTCCATTCCCAAATGTATGTCACAGGTCTGCCCATGAGGCACACCGACCGCCAGGCAGGGGGAGGACCCAGGTCCAGCGGCAGTCAAGGGCCAGGCCTGGAGAATCCCAGACCACCAGGCTGTGGGATCCGGCCTGCCACTTACACCTGGCTTCCCTGCTTTGGAGCATTTGCCATGTCGCCACGCACACGTGTCTTCTGCCCTCGGGAGAGAGCAGGTACAGAAACTAAGGCACAGACAGATCAGCTTCCTGGGTTTCCAGGGCAAGAAAAACACCCCTCACTTCCCTGCTCCCTCAACTCCTTCCTGGAAGGTAGCCCCCAGGAGCATTTCCCACTGCAGTGGTGGGGGGGGGGGGGCAGTGCACACGGGATGGGCTGACGTTTGACAGCCACCACTTGCCACCTCTCATCTGCCCTTTCAGGTAAGGACTTGCCTGAGGACCCACTGTGTGCCAGCCTCTGTTCTTGGGAGCTGTCAGAGAGGAGACACTTTGTCTGAGCTGCCACACGGAGGTGGCTGTGGGAGCACTGGGGAGGGACCTGTGTGGCAGGCAGGGCTCAGGGAAGGCCCCCAGGCCTCGAGTCTCCCACCTGCACTTGAGTCCATCCAGCCCCACGGCTCTAGCTCCTCAACTCTCCCTCGGCCAAGCCCTCGCTCCCCACCTGCCGAGCCAAGCCCAGCGGAGAAGCACAGTCCTGAGCCGGCTGCTCCAGTCAGTCTGATGACCTGTGGCCGTGCCCCTGTCTCCTGCTCTCTCGCCTCCTGGAAGCCCATCCCCCCACCCCTCAGCTGTTCTCCCCTTCTCTGCTGCCCTGCTCTCACTCCTTGGTGCTTCCTCCCCGCTGCTTCCATGAGGGGGGGGAGGGGAGAGGGGGGAGGCCAGGAAACCAGCACTCATCTCCCACTCAAACCTCACTTCTGAGCCTGCCTACCTTTACTCAACACCTCCACTTGGGTGACCCCACAGCATTTCCCATGTGACACGTCCCTGATGACCTCTTTAACTCCCCAAGCATGCCTTACTCTGTGTCCCCACCCAGCCAGTCACCCAGGCCGGATCCTGGATGCCGTCTGCGATTCCTTTCTCTCCCTGGGCCCCATCCCAACAGTCATCTCCTCCATGGCTCTGACATGCAGCCCTTTCTGACGTCTCTGCCTGGATCATGGTGACAGAGGCCCTCTGCCCCGTCCCGTCTACCCTCCAGCTGCTGCCCGCCTACCCTCCAGCTGCACCTGCTGCAGCAGTCCTGCATTGGCCTCAGATAATGGGAGCTCTCGGGTCTCTTCCCTGATTCGGAAGGGAAGGGAAGGAGCATACAGTGATTTTCTAGCTGCTATTTGAGCTTCTCGTTGACAGTTCTTTGAGAAAGTCTATTCAGAGCATGTTCAGACTGTATTTGGCCCAGCGTCTATTCAATGTGACTCCCAGTCAAGAAAAGAGGTGTAGGGCTGTGAAGTGGGGCCAAGCAGCCACTGGGAGGCTGGGCGGCCTGGGCTCTGCTTCTGGTGCTGCCGCTGCCCTTGGGCAAGTCCAGGCCTCAATTTCCCCCTCTGTCTTTTGAAGAGAGAGTGCAGATGAGTTCCCTCTTAGGTGGTGTCCAAAAGGTCTGAAATTTCTGGGCCACAGCACCACCAGATATGCGTGTCTTGTCAAGATGTGCCAGCAGAGGGCGCTGCTGTACAGCACTTGGGACTCCCAGGAGTGGGGGGGAAACCGCTTGGCTGCCCCAGTGGGGAGAATTTTCTGGTCTGGTTTCCTCTGCCCTGGGCTGGTGGAGTACGCACTTGGGCACTGAAAGAGGTGCAGACCTGGGAGACTCAGAGGAGTCTGAGGGTGTCAGAGGAGACTGGTGAGGACCCAGCGGAGGATTTTTGGAGTTGACTGTACTTGGAGGGAGAATGCCTCAGTAAAGACAGGTGACAGCCCCAATCTCTTCACCTGCCTTGATTCATCAAGACCTCAAATATACCATGGACTTTTTTTTTTTTTTTTTAACCAGGGCTCTAAGCTGGCCCAGTACTATATGCTCCACCTAGACCATCTCATTGTATTCTGTGAAGAAATTCCCTATTTTATAGGTGAGAAGAGTGCGGCTCAGAGAGGTTAAGCAATTTCCCCAAAGCCACACAGGCAGTGAATGGAGGATTATGCATTTGCTGTACGACTCCAGGACCAGCTCTTAACCAAGGTGCTGCCTCTTGGCCAAGACTCAGAAAGTGGAGGTGACTTCCCCAAAGCCCTTGCTCTCATCCCTGCCCTGGCCCCTCTGTATAAATGTCCTAACCTCTGTGCTTCACTTTCCCCACCATCAATAAGCTGGTAGTAACATTTGCCAATGACACTCATATTCTCAGGGCTTCTGGAGCAGATGCCATGGTCATCAAGGGGAGTACCCTGGGGTACCCTCCATCCATTCCTTCCTGACAGACTCCCATGGGCCTTGCTGGCTCTGTGCTCATCTGAGAGGAAGGAAAGCCTGGCTCTCCTTGACCTTTTCTTCTCAACTGATGGACGCACGTGGGCTGGTGCTGAGAAGTGGAGGCCAGGCAGGTCAAGGGACCAGTAGATCTAGACTGGAGGAGTTTCTGTAGGAGGAAAGGGACATGGGGGTGGGGTGGGGGGAGGATCCAGTACAGCAGTTGAGATCACATCCCAAAGCCGCTGCAGAGCACCTACCGTGGGCCAGCCTGCTGGGGGTGCAGAGGGCGCGAGACGCTGATAG